TTTCATTTTCCAAAATCTGGAAACTCAATCTAAGTCTCCTACATGGGTGGCAGGGACCCAATCACTTGAGCCATTACCTCTTGCCTCCCAGGGTGTGCATTAGTGGGAAGCTAGAACCAAGAATGGAGTAGGGACTTGAACGTATGCACTCTGATATGTGATGTAGGTGTCCCAACTGGTATCTTAACCAGCATTTCAGACACTAGGCCAAATTCTCAGCCTGTGATGATGAATTTAAAATGAAACTGGTCAGCATATTGGTGTGTATTTCCCTGGCTAAATGTAGCTGCAAAGATGCAAATGCAGCAAAGTTGAATTTATCAAGATTGTAGTTTAGCCAAATGAATTCAATGAAGTGCAAAAGAGGCAAAGGAATTAAAGCTGGGTTGTGAGAGAAGTGAGAACATGAGGTGGGTACAGTGAACAGGTGTGGGTTCTAGTGGGGGTAAAAGGGCTGTTTTTTGGAGTTGAAATAGACATATATACTGAAAAGCGAATGGGATACTTGAAAGCAAGATTGTAGAAGGTTGTAGAAGGTTGCAAATGTTGATAATGCTATAGTCTAGAGTTTGTGGGCATGAGTGACTAAGATAAGAAGGACAAGGTATCTGAAGGAGAGGAAGTCAAAGTATTAGGAAAGAAGGGATTGCAGAGACCATTTGTTGCTGGTAGTTCTTAATCTGGGTCCTTGCATGTAATTTAGGAAGTCTGTGAACTGGAATGGGGAAAATTACAACTTTACTAATTCTTAACTGAAATTTACCATTTCCTTCAATTATAAGTACATGTAATACACCAATATATAATAATAGCAGTACCCATGGCTTTGCATCAATACAAACCAGTTCGTTTAAATCAAGTTAGAATTTTTGCACCTTTTTCAAGATTCTATTTTTATTTAATACTGTTGTGAATTTATTGTAGGTATTAGAGCCACTTAAGATATTCTGACTTACAGTGTTGAAGTCACATGTATAACATTTTAAGAATATTTTGATAAATATGCTTCACTACCATGAAATTACAAAATTTTATTTATAATGAAATACATATTATTTCCACCTTTAAAATATTATTCTGAGAAGGAATTCTTAGGTTTCTCCTCAACTTCTAAAAGAATTTAGGGCACATATATACCCATTTTATTAATTTTTTTTAATTTGAAAGGCAAAGTTACTGAGAGAGAGGGGGAGAGAGAGAGCAAGCAAGAAATCCTCCATCTTCTGGTTCACTCCCCAGATGGTGGCAATGGCCAGGATTGGGCCAGGAAAAGCCAGGAGCCAGGAGCCTCCTCCAGATCTTTCACTTGGGTGCAGGGGCCCAACTGCTTGGACCATCCTCTGCTGCTTTTCTACACACATTAGTAGAGAGCTGGATTGGAAATGGAGCAGCCAGGACTGGAATGGGCACCCATATGGGACTCCAGTGTCCATCGATTACTTCAGGAATGATATTGCAGAGAGTGAGTGATCGAGAAGCTAAAATCTTTAAGGAATGAGGGGAATGATGCTGGTGCTGCAGGCAGTGGCTTAGTCTGCTATGCCACATCATTGCACACTCCCCTCCCCCTTTTAAAAAATTTTATTTATTTGAAAGGCAGAGAGAGCGAGAGGGAGACACACACACATGCACACACACAGAGACAGACAGACAATGGAGAGAGAGAGAGAGAGAATCTTACATTTGCTGGTTTGCTTTCAAATGGTTGCCATGTCCAGAGCTTGGCCAGTCCCAGCCCAGGAGCCAGGAGCTTCATCCAGGTCTCCTATGTGGGTACAGTGGCCGAAGTACTTGGGTCATCTTCTGCTACTTTTCCCAGGTCATTAGCAGGGAGCTGAGTCGGAAATGGAGCACCTGGGAAATGAACTGGCACCCGTATGGGATGCCAGCATTGCAGGTGGCAGCTTAAACTGCTTTGCCACAATGGTGGCCCCAGGAACTTATTATTCTTAAACTAAGGCAACGGATAGTGAAAATAATATGAAGTGGTTAAGGGTTGCTTTTTTCAATATTTTCTTTGTTTTTGCCTTTCTTAGCTCATGTCATATAGGTGACTATCAACTTCATCTTATCTTTCTTTCCAACCATAACTTGAATTTCCCTTAGCAGCATCATAGAGGTTTAGAAGTCAAAGAGACTTTGGAGATTATCTAGACCAGAAGTTTTCAATTTTTTTCTTTTAAAATGATAAAATGTTATATGGAAGCTTACTATGTAGATTAACAAAAGCTTAGTCGATTTCTATCCAGGAATCCAAGCCATGTAGGTTTCCCTTTGTTGTCTGGTACAATATCCTGAGGGCACGTCCATTGAACCCCTAAGATTATCCAGAGTGCTGTTTCCAAACCTCTAATTAAGACTGACCCTTTTATTTTTCCAGCTGAGGAAATATGCCAAGAGAGTTTGTGTTTTATCCACAGGGTAAATTAGTTGGATTAAACGTGGTCCTCACATATACTATACTTAGGAAAGCACTATTAGACAAGGGTAGAATTTCTTAATTTTGATGCAGATAACACCATCTTATTTATTTTTATGAAAAAACTGATTTGTACCTGTTATATCTGAGACACTTTCTATAGTTGTAACTGATTCAAATAAATTTAAGATATAATCTCTTTGCTTTAAGAAAACAAGTTGTTTACTTGGGGAGATAAAGTTTCTTGCAGGTGAGATGTACCCAAACAGTGTGGAATTAATTGAAAATAAAATATATTAATAAGCTCTACTGGAGCTTCAAGGAGGGTGAAGGTACTCCGTATGGGCTAGAGAGAAAGTATGACTATTATGAACAGGAATTGACTAAGTAAATAGGAGTAAGGGATATAATACTATGAATAACAGCAGAGCTTTGGTTTAATTCCAACTCCTTCATTAGCCTCTATAAATATTGGGCATGTCCTTTACCTCTGAACCTGTTACTTCATCTGAAAACTGAGGAGGTATGGAATGCTGTTAATTAAGGACATATTATTTGGTATAATATAAGCCTTAATATGTCAATGTTTATCACAGTAGAAGCTTATTCTCTCATGATAGTGTCTACATCATACTTCTTTTTTTTTTTTCAAGGTTTATTTATTTAAGAGGTAGAGTTATAGACAGAGAGGGAGAGACGGAGGGAGGTATTCCATCTGCTGGTTCACTCTTCAAATGGTTACACCGGCCAGAGCTGGGCTGATCCGAAGCCAGGCACCAGGAGCTTCTTCCAGGTCTCCCATACTTGGGCCATCTTCTACTGCTTTCCCAGGCCATAGCAGAGAGCAGGATTGGAAGAATAGCAGCCGGGACTTGAACTGGTATCCAAATGGGATGCAGGCACTGCAGGCTGTGGCTGCTCTACCTGCTATGCCACAGCGCCAGCCCCCATTTTTTTTTTTACAGACTTTTTTTTTTTAATAGAAAACTTTTATTTAATAAATATAAATTTCAAAAGTACAACTTTTGGATTATAGTGGTTCTTCCCCTCATAACCACCCTCCCACCCGCAAACCATCCCATCTCCTACTCCCTTTCCCATCCCATTCTTCATTAAGATTCATTTTTAATTATCTTTATATACAGAAGATCAATTCTATTCTGAATAAAGTTTTCAATAGTTTTCACCCACACAGACACACAAAATATAAAGTACTGTTTGAAGACTAGTTTTACCGTTAATTCTCATAGTACAACACATTAAGTACAGAGGCCCTGCATGGGGAGCAAGTGCACAGTGACTCCTGTTGTTGGTTCAACAATTGACACTTATTTATCCTGTCAGTAATCTCCCAAAGCTCTTGTCATGAGCTGCCAAAGTTATGGAAGCCTCTTGAGTTCACAATACAGACATCTTTTCTGTATTGTATCACACAAGGACCCAGGTTCCTACTTTTTATGGCTTCCACCCCTCCTAGATCTATGGAGTCCTTTTCATTCAGTTGACAGTAGGAAAACAGAGCATGGAGAATTACGGGGAGGTGTTCATGTGCTGGGCCTGAAAGTTGTATAAATATTCTGCCTATTTTTGTTTTAAGGATTTATTCATTTATTTGAAAGGCAGAGTAACAGAGAAGAGTGAGACAGAGAGAGGAAAAGAACTTCCATCTGCTGGTTTACTTCCCAAATGGCCATGTAAGCCAAGATCCAGGAATTCCATCCTGCCTTCCACATGTATGGGAGGGGCCTATGAATGTGATCCATCTTCCGATGCTTTCCCAGGCACATTAGCATAAATTGGATCCAGAGTGTAGTAGTGGGATTCTGAGCCAGCATTCTGATGTGGAATGCCAACACTACAAGTTGTGGCTTAACTTATCACACCACAATGCTGGTCTTTCTCCTGCTTATTTTTAGTGGTCATAACCTAATCACAAAGCTAAGCACAGAGGATGTAATTCATAATTTAGAGAGGAAATCAATTTTACCTCACAGAGTTGTTAGGAAGATTGGAGGAAACAATGTATGAGACAGGTTTTGTTCACAACATGGCCTGTGAAAGTATTTAAACATCATTTTTGTAAAATAGGGACTTTTTAAAAAGATTTATTTATTTATTTGAAAGGCAGAGTTACAGAGAGAGTGAGTGAGAGAGAGATCTTCCATCTGCTGGTTTACTACCCAAATGTCTACAATGGCCCAGGCTGAGCCAGGCCCAAGTCAGAAGCTTCTTCTGGGTCTCCCATGTGGGTGCAGGGACCCAAGCACTTAGGCCATCTTTTACTGCTTTCCCAGGCATATTAACAGGTAGCTGGATCAGAAGTGGAGCATCTAGGACACAAACTGCCACCCATATGGGATGCTGGCATTGCAGGCATTAGCTTAACATGCTATGCCATAAAACCCTCCTCAAATAGGGAAATTTGTATAATGTCTTTCTGAGTATAGGTAATAGACCAAATTTTATATTAACATGTGTAGCCTCCTTTTTAGAAAAGTATAATTTACTTTTGATTCTTGGTAATAGTGATAACTCAAATTTAAAATGATTCTTCTTGGTGAATTCTTTGTTTTTCTTTTAGCATGGTGTTATTGCTACAGAAGATGAAGAATATTTTATTGAACCTTTAAAGAATACCACAGAGGATTCCAAGAATTTTAGTTATGAAAATGGCCACCCTCATGTTATCTACAAAAAATCTACCCTTCAACAGCGGCATCTGTATGATCACTCTCATTGTGGGGTTTCAGGTAAGTGAATGTGCAGCTTTTACAAAACATATTGTATCACTGATTTCTGTTTGTTCTGACAAGTATAGTAAGATTGATAGTAAACATAAATGGAGGGCTAGCATTGTGGTGCAGTGGTTGTTGCTTACAACATGGGCATCCCACAGCAGAGGGCTGGTTCAAATCCTTGCTACTTTGCTTCCCATCCAGCTTTTTGCTATTGCACCTGGGAAGGAGCAAAGGCTAGCTCAAGTAGTTGGGCCCTGCCACCCATGTGGGAGACCAGGATAGAGTTCCTGGTTCCTGACTTTAGCCTGGCCCAGACATGGCTGTTGTTGCCATTTAAGGAGTGAATTAGTGGAGGGAAGATTATATAAATAAATAAATGTTAATAATTTCCATATCAGTAGTTTTAAGTCAATTTGGAAGCTTCTGGAGAAGTCCTTATAAATATAAAACTATGTATTTCTTTTTTTTAAGATTTATTCATTTATTTGAAAGGCAGATTTTTTTTTTCATTTTCGATTCTCTTTATATACAGAAGATCAGTTTAGCATACATTAAGTAAAGATTTCAACAGTTTGCTCCCACACAAACATAAAGTGAAAAATAATAGATGATTTTTTAAATGATGATGAAGTCAGATCAGACCTATTGTCATGTTTAATCCCAGTGAGAGTCAATTTGGGAATTGATAATTTCTTCTTTTTTTTTTTTTTTTTTTTACAGAAGATCAGTTTAGTATACATTAAGTAAAGATTTCAACAGTTTGCACCCCCATAGAAACACAAAGCGAAATATACTGTTTGAGTACTCGTTATAGCATTAAGTCTCAATGTACAGCACATTAAGGAAAGAGATCCTACATGAGGAGTAAGTGCACAGTGACTCCTGTTGTTGACTTTACAAATTGACACTCTTGTTTATGGCATCAGTAATCTCTCTATGCACCAGTCATGAGTTTCCAAGGCTATGGAAGCCTTTTGAGTTCACCGACTCTTATCTTGTTTAGACAAGGTCATATTCAAAGTGGAGGTTCTCTCCTCCCTTCAGAGAAAGGTACCTCCTTCTTTGAAGACCTGTTCTTTCCACTGGGATCTCACTCACAGAGATCTTTCATTTAGGGTGTTTTTTTTTTTTTTTTTTTGCCAGAGTGTCTTGGCTTTCCATGCCTGAAATACTCTCATGGGCTTTTCAGCCAGATCGGAATGACTTTAGGGCTGATTCTGAGGCCAGAGTGCTGTTTAGGACATCCACCATTCTATGAGTCTGCTGAGTATCTCGCTTCCCATGTTGGATCACTCTCCCCTTTATTTATTCTATCAGTTAGTATTAGCAGGTACTAGACTTGTTTATGTGCTTCCTTTGACTCTTAGTCCTTGAAAGGCAGATTTAAAGAGAAGCAGAGGGAGAAAAAAAGAGAGAGAGAGAGTTCATCCTTCTGCTGGCCTGTTCCCCAGATGTCCACAACAGCAGGAGCTGGGCTTTCCAGGAGCCAGAAGCCTTCCTTGGGTCTCCCCTACGTGTGTAGGGGCCCAGGGACCTAGGCCATCCTCTACTGCTTTCCCAGGCCACAGCAGAGAGCTTGATCTGAAGTAGAGCAGCTGAGATGAACCAGCGCCCACATGGGATGCCAGCAACGCAGGTGGCAGCCTCACCGGCTACTCCACAACACCAGTCCCAATATAAAACTATTTAGAATTTGACATTTTTTTCTTTGAAAAGAAAAAAAAAAGAACTTGCCTTATGTTATCCAGGTAATGGATAAGCTTTCATGAGCTGGTATTCCATAGTACTGTTCTGTTAGCCTAGTACTTTTATCAGGCTAGTTTCATGCTAATTACAGGAATCTAGATTCTTGAATAAGGTAGTATTCAAAGATAGTAATAGCATTGAACTAGATAATTAGTATAATACAGAGTAGATACAACAAACCTGGACTTCAGTGATCAAGAGAAACTTCACGAAAGAAGTGATATCTATGCTGAGGCTTGAGGGAAAAAAGAAGTTTGGTGTGCAGAAGTCTGAGAACAATGACTGGAGCATTCCAGATAGAGGAAATAGTATTTACAAAGGTCCTGAGCCACATTCCAGAAATAGAGAGTTTATGTAATGAGGTATTAGAATGTGGGTTGGAGAGATAGAGGTTAGGTACATAGTTGCCAGGGAGAGAGGTTGTGAGAGATGAAACTGGGGAGATAAGAAAGGGCCAAATCATGAAGGGGTTGTAAAGTATATTAAAAAGTTTGTTTATCCTAAGTTCACTGGAAACCCATTAAGAGATTTTAAGCGGAAGGAGTGACATTCTCAGATTTGTGTTTTAGAAAGGCCACTGTGGCAATAGTGCGATGATTAAATTAGAGAAGAGCAAAACTAGAGGTAGGCAGTTAGGCAGATGAGAAGTCTAAAAATGGGAAAACTTAGAAAAATCTTGTATGTACATATAGTGTATGTGCATACATATAGTATAGTAGAAAGAAGATAGGCCTTGGTGTAGCTTTGGTCAGATTACCCAACCTCTCTTGAGTGCTCATATGAGTACACATTAGTTATTCAGTCAAATTGTAGATGTCATTATTATTAGGATGACTGTTTCCAGTATTTAAAGAGCTACAACATTTCAAGATAAAGTTTTCAAAAATTTTCCTGTGGCAAAATGTTTCAAATGAAGATTTCAGCTTAATGCAAGGAGTTCACTAACAAGTAGATTTAGTAAAAAATGAGATGGGATGCCTTATGATTTAATGAATGGCTCATTCTTTAGCTTTTTTTCTGTATTCTTTATAGGTCCTTTTTTTTCTGTCCCAAGTGTTAAGGGCTTTTGGAGTTCCTTGATCCATTGAATGTTCTCATTCTGCACAATTTCTTTTTGCGAAAGGCTTTAAAAATCTCTTAAACTATTAATTATGGGAGCTCTACGATGATCAAGGATAGTTGATACTAGATATTGGCCACTTGAAGTGAATCTACTTAAAGCATGATATAGAATTCCTTAGTAAATATTTTTTAATGTTTGATTGGTTATTAGTATTGTATGATAAAATTAAATGTAATAAATTTATCTTACTTTTAACAAAGTTTAGGCTCAAAGTACAACTATATATAAATTCTTTAAAACTAGGATTTAAATACTTATTTACTATGATATAATTTTCTTTGTATTTTTTCTTTACTTTATGCTGGTGAAATTCACTCTTTGTAGAAAATATTTAAAGATTTTATCATGTTATGAAAGGTATCTATTAATCCTTTGATATTCAAATTATTCTATTTTAAAGGGCCTAATCACATTATTTTAACTGAGGCAAATTTGTGTGTAGTTTTTAATGTTTTAGGCATGATTCAAACACATCTCCAAACCTCTTTTTACTTCAATCATAAAATTCTATCCTTTTTTGGAGAAGATTTTCTTCTGCTATTTGTATTATTAAACAGTCTTCCCTTCCTTCCCCCTCCCTCCCTTCCTTCCTTCCTTTCTTTTTTAAAGATTTATTTATTTATTTGAGAGGCAAAGTTACAGATTGAGAGAGGGAGAGAAAGAAAGAGAAAGGTCTTCCATCTGCTGATTCACTCTCCAAATGGCGCCCATACGGGATGCTGGCACTGAAGGCGGAGGCTTGCCTACTACACTGCAGCACCCACCCCTAGTCTTCCCTTTCAGTGTATTTCATTCGCTAGCCATTTCTGCTACCCATAAGCCAATCCATTTAGTTTAGGTCCTTATCACTGGCCTAGAACACTGTATTTCCTGCTTTTTCTCTCTCCAGGTTGTCTTTTTGTTTTTAGTCAAATCTGTCTCCTAAATCTGTTTACCTGTATTATATACCTTCATACACCCCCTCACTGGTTTCCTATTAGTAGGGATATGGTAGTAGTTCTCCAGTTCTGAGAAAATGTTACTGGATGTTGTTGACACAGTATTTTATGTTTAGTAAGTTTGGGAAATGTCTGGCACAGAACTTAACTGTGATAAGGTTTCAATTGTATAGAATAAGTGAGATATGACATATATTGCCAGTTTGTATCAAAATGTACAATGTAAAAACCCTTTTGAGTGTGGGTGTTTAGTCTAGTGGTTCCCACATTGGAATGCCTACATTTGGTTCCTGGCTCCACTCCTGACTGCAGCTTCCCTCAACAATGCAGCCCTTGAGAAGCAATGGTCGTGGCTCAAACAAGTGGATTCTTGCCACTCACATGGGAGATATGGTTTGTGCTCCTGACTCCAGGCTCTGGCTCTGGTAGAGCCATTGTTGTAGGCATTTGGAGAGTGAATCAGAAGATGGGACATCTCTGTCTGCCTCTCAAATAAATAAAAAATTTATTTAAAAATATTTATTTGAAAGGCAGAGTTTCAGAGAGAGAGAGAGAGAGAGAGAGACAGAGAATCTTCGCCCGGCTAGTTCACTGCCCAAATGGCTGCTACTGCTAGGGCTGGACCAGTCCAAAGCCAGGAGCCTAGAACTCCATTGGATCTCCTACATGGGTACAGGAACCCAAGGACTTGGGCCAGCTTCCGTTGCTTTTCCAGGTGTATATGCAGGGAGCTGGATAGGAAGTGTAACAGCTGGGACTTGAACCTTTGCTCACATGGGATGCTGGTGTCAAAGGCAGCGGTTTAAACCATTATACCACAATGCTGGTCCCATGAAAAATAATTTTAAAACACCCTTTTAACATTGGGTGTATTTGCCTCATATTCAGACATAAATTTTCCCATTCTAGATTTAAACTAAGTATTTTTTTAAAATTTATGAAAGTAGTATCTGTTCTTATATAAAACTTAGGAAATATAGGAATAAAAGGAAATGAAAATCACTGTTATTCTAGCACCCAGAGATAATTTAGTATTCTTCTGACCCAGTGTCATAGATATTATCTTTATACTTTTATATTTTCATTAGCTACTTATAGGTTCATTTACCACCTGTATTTAAAACTGTTCTAGGTGCTGGAGATGCAAAAATAAATAAAGCAGAAAAGGTTCTTGTTATCATGAAGCTTATATTCTAGTGAGGAAAGATAAAGAGTTAACTAAATAAGCAAACAAAGAAATAAATACATAGCTGTCAAGAAGTAGTAAGTGCCAAGAACAAAAATAAAATAGGTCAATGATATAGTTGTGAATGTCTGTATATGTTGTTTCATGTAGCAATCTGATTCATATGTTGGTTTGGGAAAAAGTTATTATATTGTCTGTTTATAGAGTATTTTTTGAAGATTTATTTATTTATTTGAAAGGCAGAGTTACAGAGAGGCAGAGGCAGAGAGAGAAAGAGAGAGAGATCTACCATCTGCTGGTTCATTCCCCAAATAGCCGCAATGGCTGGAGTTGGGCCAATCTGAAGCCAGGGGCCAGGAGCTTCTTCTGGGTCTCCCATGCAGTTGCAGGGGCCCATGAACTTGGGCCATCTTCTGCTGCTTTCGCAGGCCATAGCGGAGAGCTGGCTTAGAAGTGGAGCAGCCAAGTGGAGAGTTTACCTGATATGCCACAGCACCGGCCCCACTGTTTTTTTTTTTTTTTTTTTTTTTTTAACATTCTATAATCTGCCCAAAATTAAATGGAACAAAACATTTGCCACAAGTGTCATTTGAAGAACTAACATTTATTTTGAAACAAAACTAGTCATTCTTATAGGAGGATGTGTCAACAAGTTTGAGGAAAAATATAAGTAAAAGATATGTTTAGGGGCAGGTGTTGTGACCCAGTGGGTAAAGCTGCTGGCTGCGCCTTGGCATCCCATATGGGTGCTGGTTCACACCTGGCTGCTCCACTTAACTATCCAACTCATGCTAATGGCCTGGGAATGCAACAGAAAATGGCCCAACTGTTTGGGCCCTGCCAGTCACGTGGGAGACTTGGATAAATTTTCTGGTTTCTGGTTCTGGCCTGGCTCAGCCTGGCTGTTATGATCACTTTGGGGAGTGAACCAGTGAGTTGAAGACCTCTCTGTCTCTCCCTCTCTCTGTAATTCTGACTTTCAATTAAATGTATAAAGTTTTTTAGCTGGCGCCATGGCTCACCAGGCTAATCCTCCGCCTTGCGGCGCTGGCACACCGGGTTCTAGTCCCGGTCGGGGCGCCGGATTCTGTCCCAGTTGCCCCTCTTCCAGGCCAGCTCTCTGCTGTGGCCAGGGAGTGCAGTGGAGGATGGCCCAGGTGCTTGGGCCCTGCACCCCATGGGAGACCAGGAGAAGCACCTGGCTCCTGCCATCGGATCAGCGCGGTGCGCCTGCTGCAGCGCGCCGGTCTCGGCAGCCATTGGAGGGTGAACCAACGGCAAAGGAAGACCTTTCTCTCTGTGTCTCTCTCTCACTGTCCACTCTGCCTGTCAAAAAAAAAAAAAAATATATATATATATAAAATTTTTAAAGAAAGATAGTTTATTTTGTTGCAGAAATTTTGAAATCTAAGTATAGTTTTTTCATATGCATTTTCTATGAACATTTTGAAGATCCTATTTCATTTTAGATGAGCAAATGTTTTAGTTACACATCATTAAGCTTAACATTAACCAGTCAGTTGACAATTATAGAATGTAGATTTAGTTTTGTAATGAGTCTGTCATATTAGTTTAATTTCATGTTTCAATGAAACAAGATGGTATCTCTCTTGATTTTATTTATTCAGTATACATTATATATGTATATATACACATATATTATATATACATTGCATTATATATACATTTTATATGTATATATAATTCTTTTGATGGACATTGATGAATAAAAAGACCTAGTGTTTTTACAATATGTTATAGGTACATATATTTTTATTTTGAAAAAATGTTTATTTGAAATGCTTGAGAGGGCAAGAATGAGAGAGTTGAGAGAGAGAGAGAGAGAGAAATTTTTTTTCACTGGTTCACTCACCACATAGCCTCAATAGCCAGGGTTGGGCCATGGTGAAGGCAGGAGCTCAGAATTCCATCTGGGTCTCCCATGTGGGTATCAGGGACCCAATTACTTGAGCCATCATCTGCTGCCTCCCAGGTATGTATTATCTGTAAACTGGATTGAAATTGTAGCTGAAACTCAAATCCAGGCACTCTGATATAGGATGAGGGACTTCTTAGCAACAACTTAACCAGTTGAGCCACAATGCCTGTTACAAGATATATTTATATTCAAAGCATCTTTAGTCTGATGGAGTGATAGCCAAACAAACTAAACATTTTAAAAGCTAGAGGGTTAAGAATTATGGCAATGAGATGTTGATGATTATAGCAGTTACCTAAAACTGAATACTTATAAAATGAGGAAAGCAATTGCTTAATACTTAGGCCTCAATCATGTCTAATTCTTTTTACCATACTTTAAGTAAAAATAAGGAGAAATTGAATGAATCAACAAAGTTGAAGTGTTCAAAAGAATGGAAATTAAATCCTCTATTTAGACATTGAAAGTATCCAGCCAAAGAAAGGAGGAACGATTAGGCATAACTTTTTTTTTTTTAACACACTTGGGCCATCTTCCGTTGCTTTCCCAGTCATTTTTTTTTTTTTTATTTGAAAGAGTTACAGAGAGAGGTAGAGACAGAGAGAGAGGTCTTCCATCCACTGGTTCACTCCCCAGATGGCTGCAATGGCCAGAGCTATGCTGATCCAAAGCCAGGAGTTTCTTCTGGGTCTCCCATGTAGATGCAGGGGCCCAAGGACTTGGGCCATCCTCCACTGCTTTCCCAGGCCATAGCAGAGAGCTGGATTGGAAGAGGGGCAGCTGGGACTAGAACCCATTTGGGATCCTGGCGCTTCAGGCCAGGGCTCTAACTCGCTGCGCCTCAGCGCCAGCCCCAGGCATAACTTAAATGCATGAAAGATTTTATGATCACAGAGTACGGGGCAGGAGAAATTGGTGTTATATTGATCCAGAAAATATTTTGGTCATTTCGTAACAACATTACCACCAACTCAGTGGTTTAAGTAACCTACTTCTATCATGTCACAGTTTGTGGGTTAGTTTGCAAAGGTGTATCATTTTCTTAGCCCCAGCCGGGAGCTGGGATGGAGACAGATTCTCATTTGTTGTTGGCAGCATTCAGTTCTTTGTGGATATAGGTAGCTTAGTTTTTGGCTGGGTGTCTGTCAGAGACCATCTGTGTTCCTTGTAATATAGGCTTCTCCAGTAGGGAGAAGCATGTTTTCTCTAAGCCACCAAGGAAGATGATAGTAAGGCAAATGCTACAATTACATAATAGAATTATGTATTTATATACATGTAATCGCATTTGTCCCATCATCTTTGAGAAATTCTATTGGTTAGAAGCAAGTCACAGTTCCTATTCATCCTCAAAGGGAGGAGATCCCAAAAGAATGTGAATATCAGGAAGCAGAAGTCATGGGGTTCACCTTAAGAGACTGCCATATTTAGACATGGGAAAACACTGACTATTGTACTGTTGAACTAGGAAGTGAAATGTCTCTGCCTCTATTGACTTTTAGGAATTAGACACTCAATTTATATGAACTTCAAAAGTTTTTCTGTGGGGGGCCAGCACTGTTGTGCAGCATGTTAAGCCGCAGCTTTTGATGCCAATGTCTCCTATCCTGGGACTGATTCAAGACCTGTGTATGCCGCTTCCACTCAGACTTCCTGCAAATGTGCCTGGGAAGGCACTGAAAGATGGCCCAAATACTTGTGGCCACTGCCACTCGTGTGGGAGACCAGAATGGACTTCCTGGGTCCTGACTGTTCTGGCTATTCAGGGAGTAAACAAGCAGATGGAAGCTTTCTGTCCCTCTCTAACTTTTCTATCTCTGTCACTCTGCCTTTCAAATAAATAAATAAATAAATAAATCTTTAGAGAAATGTACTTCACTGGTACTTGTCATGGTCATTTGCACCTCTTCTTAAAATTTATCAATCTTGCCCATATAATTTTTGAAAAGGAAAAGACTAAAGATTTTAGAAAAAATGAGAATAGAGCTACATTCTGTCAAGTGTGTAATACATATTAATTTAATTTTCCTCACTAATTTTTCAATAAGTGAGGGTGAGAAAGATTTTATGTTCATTATAAAGATATAGAAGTAAACTGTGTGGAGGATCTCTACCTGCTCTCATTTATTTAATGAAGATGAAGATAAATGAGGCAAAGTTACAAATGCTAAAGGTGCTAATATATGTAATAAAATTACGGTACAAAAGTGTTTCCTCAGTAGTGAAAGACCAAATGTTCAGAAAACAAAGGGTATGCTATCATCCATATTAAATGTGATTTAAAGAGAACTGGGCTGGGATAATGATCTTCAACTCTCATTTTAATGTGCTTTATCTCTAGACTTTGAAAAAGTAATACTCTGAAAATACAGATAGTTGTAGATTGCAAAACTAAGTGAAAAAAGTAACTGACAGCCTTTTAGAATGGATATTTCTAGAATAATGGAATTATTTATAATTAAGATAATGTAGTAAAAGCATCTTACTTTAAAATAAATAGCAGCATTTTAGGAGTATATTTTTGCAACTTAATTGTTTATCAGAATTGTCTTAGGCTGTTTCAGAGATTCATGCCATAGTTTCTTTTTAAATAACTTTAAAGGACCTTAAAGTATGTATTTTAAATATGAAAATATTATGTTATAATTACTCACTGGAATAATATGAAATGACCATTTGAAAGTTTTTTAAGTAATTCATTTCATAGATTTATTGGGTTTTATTTTCATGAGAATTGGATGCCATTAATGTTTAGGATTTTTTTTCATATATTATCATGATTATTTTCAAAAATTTTAAGAGTTTAATTTTTTGTTGCTGCATTTCCTCATCCCCTTCCCTTACTTGGAAAAATCTTAATATATTAGAGAATTTGTCAAAAACATAGCTCCTTCAAAAATCTATAATTAAATAGGTTTAATTAGTGAGCCTATCTGAATTGGTTAATTGTTTTTATTGTAGACCTCACAAGAAGTGGCATACCTTGGTGGCTGAATGACACATCTACTTTTCCTTCTTCCTTACCAATTAATGACACACATATCCGCCACAGACATAAGAGATCAGTGAGCATTGAGCGGTTTGTGGAGACATTGGTAGTGGCAGACAAAATGATGGTGGGCTACCATGGCCGCAAAGACATTGAACATTACATTTTGAGTGTGATGAATATTGTAAGTTTGATCCCTCTATATAACATTTTACTTAGTAGTTTGTTGTGTTTTTGACTAGGGTCATGGATTTTTACTTTGAAATAAATAATGATTAGAAGTCACTTGTCTAAAATGTTAAAGAATTAATCTATTAATGTTTCCTTTACATAGAAATTAAATTTAAAGGTGATCCTATGGTTCATTTTCAGATATGATTTTTAAAAATAAGTTGTTAAGTCTTGTTTAAGGGGTTTTCTTTAACTTTAAACATCAGCTCACCCTCTACTTGCTATGTTATAGTTCAACTCTGGGAGAAAAAAAAAATTTTTTTTTTTGACAGGCAGAGTTAGACAGTGAGAGAGAGAGAGAGACAGAGAGAAAGATCTTCCTTCTGTTGGTTCACTCCCCTAATGGCTGCTACGGCCGGCGCGCTGTGCTGATCTGAAGCCAGGAGCCCAGGTGCCTCCTTTTGGTCTCCCATGCGGGTGCAGGGCTCAAGCACTTGGGCCATTCTCCACTGCCCTCCCGGGCCACAGCAGAAAGCTGAACTGGAAGAGGAGTAACCGGGACAGAATCCAGCGCCCCAACTGGGACTAGAACCTGGGGTGCCGGCGCTGCAGGCGGAGGGTTAGCCAAGTGAGCTGCGGCGCTGGCCAAAAATATTTCTTGAGGTAGACTTTGTATAGAAACTTTTTACCAAGGCGTTTCGAGTGTAGAGTTCTAAATGATTTGGGGAAAAAGAATACCTTTTTATTGTAGAAAGTTGTTTACCACTTTTTAAAAAAGCTGTTACCCTGTGAACTTTGTCTGACTTTGTGTCTTTTCTTATTTTCTGGAGGTCAGGTTGCCAAACTTTACCGTGATTCCAGTCTAGGAAACGTTGTGAATATTATAGTGGCCCGCTTGATTGTTCTCACAGAAGATCAGGTAAGAGTGAGTTACCTTATAAATCTAAAAGTGTTAGACCTGCTATGGAATTGTTTATTATAAGATGATATATTTTATTGTTGCTCTTCTTAAGAAGTTCTAGTTGAATATGAGTTTTTGCTCTGAATATTAAAATGTAAGCAAATTAGAAATACTTTAGAAGAATATATCTCTTATCATGTTAAAGCTATTTATATATGTATATATATATATACACAAGTATGTGTGTATTAGCTATATGTTTCAGTCTAAAGATGAACATTTGCATGGCATATTTTATAATAATGGCTTTGGTTGTTTTTTGAATGCTGACAATCTCATATTTTCACATTATCATTAAAGCTTGAACTAGGAAGAATGTTTAATTATATACTAAGTGAACTCTAGATCAGGTATTACACAGATAAAAATTGGCAAGAGATTATTCCTAGAAACCACTGCTTCTAATTATAGTCCCATTTTAGTCTTCAAAAATTTTAACAACCAATCTTAGTAATTTGTTTGGAACATTTCTGGTATGCATGTTGTATTACAGCCAAACTTGGAGATAAACCACCATGCAGACAAGTCCCTCGATAGCTTCTGTAAATGGCAGAAATCCATTCTCTCTCACCAAAGTGATGGAAACACCATTCCAGAAAATGGGATTGCCCACCACGATAATGCAGTCCTGATTACTAGGTATGGCTTATTCCAAGTATTTTTCCAATTCTTATGTGTTCGATATTATAACTATATTTGGTTCTATTTTAAGACTCATTCAGGTAGAGTATAGACAAAGCAAAATTATTGTAATTTACTTTTTGCTACTGAGAAGGACTCTATTACACTATCATTTTGTTTGCCTTAAGTGAACCAAATAAGAAAAAAAGAAGTTAAGATTTGACTTAGGAATTTGATAATAACCTCCCTTTTGCTTATGAGATTTGTACATGATATTTAATTGGAGGCACAAATAGTATTTGTTATTTGAACAAAATACATACTAAAAGGAAGATTAAAAATATGAGAAAATATATATATTTAAAAATAAAGTTGTTGATCTTGACTATAAAATATATTAACTATTATTGCCTCCAAGTTGTGTTGAAGTTTATTAAAAGGTTGGAGAATATTTTTGGAAAAGCTGAATAATACATTGCCTTACAAAAGAAAATTGCCTGGGAAAACTGTGACTGACAGTGTATGTTGAGATTTGCAGTCTTGAATAGGTATTATGCCAAATTTTCATTTGTTCACTTTCTTGAAAGTGGAGAAAGACTTAGAAAAATACAGTCTTAACACAGAGTTCCATTGTCTTGTGAGTAGATGTCTCACTGAGCCTGCCTATAGTTTTATCACCCAATATTTCAGCTGCAAATTTTTGAATTTCCAGAAAAAACCTTGTCAGTGTTATTTTGAATTAGTCATGTATTTCTATTACTTAAATTGTTGATTTCAATTATATTACTATTCTGTCATCATTTATTTTATTTTTAGTTTTTGCTTGACAAAAATAAAGTTTCCTAGGCAGTCTTTTTCATTTTCTGACCCAAATTTTCTAATAACCTATCATATAATCATTCATAATCTTATAGCTAAAACAAATGTATACAAAATGCTCTCTTTTCCAAGTTTACTTGTGTGGGGACATATTATTGGTGATTTGTGTCTATAAATATATAATGTGTATTTACCTTGTAACACACTATCAAGGTAAGAGTAGTAATATTACTGCTTTAAAAATCTGTTTCATAAAATCGTGTATATTGCTCAAGTCTTGTGTGTGTGTGTGCATGTATTGTATGTACAAGTACCTGTGTGTATGTGCATGTGTTGTCACAAAAAAGTATATGTGACTGTATAGTCCTAATCTGTTCTTCCAAGAGCTGATTTTTTTTTTTAAAGATTTATTTATTTATTTGAAAGTCAGAGTTACACAGAGAGAGGAGAGTCAGAGAGAGAGAGAGAGAGAGAGAGAGAGAGAGAGAGGTCTTCCAATTGGTCCACTGCCCTTTGGCCACAATGGCCAGAGCTGCGCTGATCTGAAGCCAGGAGCCAGGAGCTTCTTCTGTGTCTCCCGCGTGGGTGCAGGGGCCCAAGGACTTGGGCCATCCTCCACTGCCTTCCCAGGCCATAGCAGAGAGCTGGATCGGAAGTGAAGCAGCTGGGTCTTGAACCAGCACCCATATGGGATGCCAGCGCTTCAGGCCAGGGCATTAACCTGCTGCACCACAGCGCCGGCCCCTGCATTGGCATTTAAAAATAATTATTTACTTATTTTAAAGACAGAGTCATGAAGGGAGGGAGAAACAGAGCCAGGATGGGGGGAGTGAGAGAGAGATATCTTACATCCGCTGGTTCATTCCCTAATGGCTGCAACACCAGAGCTGGGCCAGGCTGAAGCCAGGAGCCAGGAACTGCATTCTGGTCTCCCAAGATTTTTACCTTTTGCATCAAATGATAGAAGTTACATCAAAAGCACACATTTATAAGCATTCAAGCAGTGAAATACATCTGGGCAGGTAGCTTCCCTTACCTTTTACTGACTATAACATTCAGCTTTCAACTTATTACTCTGAATTGGCCCAGATATTTTTCTGATCCTCTGCAGAGTTCCTCTTTGCTTTTGTAAGCTACTTTGAGTGTCTTTTTGATGTCTTAGATTCGAATGTAAAGTTTTCTCTTAGAATTTGTCTCTAATGATCAGGCTAGTACTAGAAATGATCTCAGGATTTAATAGGGATATAGTTTAAAGATTTCATATCTCATGTGGCTTTATATTAGCTAATGTACTAGAAGTTAGAAAAAGTCTCTTTGAAACAAAAGAGAATTTTTTTTGGAATTATGAAATTCTCAAAATAACTTCTAGCCTATTTTCAAGTCCACAATTATCTTTGAATTACTAGGGCCACAAAGTGACTAATCAAAATGAGATGACTATTATCTTTAATATATAGATATAGTTATTTTACAGGGAGAGGAGGGGAGTTGTCAATAATTACTCTCCTTTGTATATCTTTGATTTGTGAAATTGAACATATGTTTAAACTATATTGCTACTTTTAGTAAAAATAATTACAAGAATTCCCACAGATGATTTTATATTAATGTTGAAAATAATGTCATATAACTCATGTATTAACATATCAGGTTGTGACCCTACTGTTTATAGGTAATAACATGATTTATGTTTGCTTGAAATGTCTGCTCAGTAGGGAGAATGTGTAATGTGTTTATTGAGAATTCCAGAGGAAAACTAATGAACATGTTTATCTCTGCTAAGCCAAATTTTGTCCCAGTAACTTAAATGTTTTAAGCAGAAAACCATTTGGAATTATAGTAACTTAGGCAACAATCGTTACTTTTACAAGCTCAAATGTTACTTCTCTTTAACAAATGAATCTTGTTGTTCTTTTAATTGACTTAAATTTGAAACTGGTTTGCAAAGTCAGCAGCTCCCTCTCATTATATGGAAGGAAAGCAAAAAATATGAATTTAGAACATTTTTAGTTTGGTAGCAATAATATTGAATTAATGCCAAAGAATATATATATATATATATATATTTTTTTTTTTTTTTTGACAGGCAGAGTGGACAGTGAGAGAGAGGGACAGAGAGAAAGGTCTTCCTTTGCCGTTGGTTCACCCTCCAATGGCCGCCGTGGCCGGCGCACCGCGCTGATCCGATGGCAGGAGCCAGGTGCTTCTCCTGGTCTCCCATGGGGTGCAGGGCCCAAGGACTTGGCCCATCCTCCACTGCACTCCCTGGCCACAGCAGAGAGCTAGCCTGGAAGAGGGGCAACCGGGACAGAATCCGGCCCCAACCGGGACTAGAACCCGGTGTGCCAGCGCCGCAAGGCGGAGGATTAGCCTAGTGAGCCGCGGCACCAGCCGCCAAAGAATATTTTAAGATCATGTGTATCATACATATTTTTATATAAGTATGTTTGTGTATACATATGTATGTTTACTATATTGCTTATTTTTATTAATATACTCATATTAGTAATTTTTATTGATTGCTTCCATAGACTAAATCTGCTAGAATTATTTGACGATTAGTAGTGCTCACCTAAGTCAGCTTGACATTTAATGACACTTTTTTAAGAAGTGGAATATAACACCATTTAACTAGGGTAAGAAATGATTAACACTTTGTACTTGAAATTCTAGAATTATAATTTAAGAAGATACTATAGGATTCTACATATATATATTTAACTTGTTATAAATATTTTAAATTATTTTTATTAAACTTTATATTTTTGCTTTGGTTACTTTTAGAATTCATACTTTGTTTTGAGAATGAGAGAGCTTTCATCTGCTGGTTAATTGCTCAAATACCTGCAGTGGCCAGGGCTAAGCCAAGTAGAAGCTAGAAACTGTCTAGGTCGCCCATGTCGGTGGCAGGGATACAGCTACTTGAGCCATCACCTGCTGCCTCCCATGGTGAATATTAGCAGGAATCTAGAACTTGGAATGGAGCTGGCACTCAAAACTAGGCACTCTACTATGGGATACGCATGTTCTACCTGGTGGCTTAACTGCTAGACCAAATGCCTACCCCAATTATTTATTTTTAAATTGTTAAATTAAAAATTGTATGTGTTTATTATATACAGCATGATATTCTGATATATGTATGCATTGTAGTATGACTAAATAAAACACTAGCTTGATAAGCTTTGTATTGACAAACTGCAAATTAATAGCTACTTAGGAATAACAACCTATAATTTGACAGATTATATAAGTTATTTTTATTTCCACTTGAAGTCAGGAAATATCCACCACAAGATTAAAGTCAAGCCAATTTCTAAATATATTTTATGGAGAAGTATTCAAGAAATGCATTTATAGCCTGAAAAACAGTAGGAATTTAATGTATTACCATCAATGTCTGACAATTAGCATGACTACACTAATACCTACATTTTTAGCTTTCTCTTCTCTAAAGTATTTTTCCACTTTTAAGATATTAATACATAACATTTTACATATCAAGAGTATGAATTATAGTCCAGGTTTTTTTGATAACAGCTTTATTGAGGTATAATTCATAGGTAATAACATTTTTACATTTAACATATAATTCAGTGGTTTTTAGTATAATGACAGTGTTGTGTAGCATTCACTGTAAGCCATTTTAGAATGTACCATCATTCCCACAGGATATCATTCCCCCATTGCCTTCATTCCCTGCCTTACCTTTGCTCCAGCCCCTTCTTTATAGATTTGCCTATTCTGAACCGTTTGTATAAATGAAATCATAACGTGGTCTGCTTCTTCTGTTTAGCATGTTTTCAAGGCTTGTGCATATAGTGTCATGTGTTGGTAGTTCATTCTCCTTAATTCTTTTTTTTTTTTTTAAAGATGTATTTGTTTATTTGAAAGGCAGAGTTACAGAGAAGGAGAGAGAGAGAAAGAGAGAGTGCGCGCTTCCATCTTCTGGTTCACTTCCCAAATGGCTGCAATGGCCAGGCCTGGGCCAAGCCAGACCAGAGCCAGGAGCCAGGAACTTCTTCCTTCTATGTCATTGCATCGACTCAAGGACTTGGGCCATCCTCTACTGCTTTCCCAGGCGCATTAGCAGGAAGCTAGGTTGGAAGTGGAGCAGCTGGGTCTCAAACCTGCACCCACATGGGATACCAGCACTGTAGGCTGTGGTTTTAACCCACTGTGCCACAGTGCCATCCCCT